GGGCGCGCCCGGAGCCGCCAGCAGGAAGGCGCTGGAGACCCTCCGGCGGGTCGGCGACGGGGTGCAGCGCAACCACGAGACGGCCTTCCAGGGTAAGGGGCCCGAGCGCCCTCCGCGCGCAGCCTTGCCTCGCCTTCCCCGGGAAGCGGGCGCGGAGGGCGGGCGGAAACCGAAACGAGCCCGATCCTGTTTCTGAGCGCAGCGTGTTCTGACCATGAGTCATTGTTTCCGCCCATCTTGGTTCGTTGGGAAACAGCAGTCGGGTTCAAAGCCCGGAAAGGGCAGGGTGTCGCTTTTCCTGCGGGGTCGCCCGAGCTGTGTGGGGCCAGATGGGCCGATCCCCCGCGGTGGGTGGGCAGGAGGAGCGGCGTGGCCGGTGCAGACAAAGGGCACGGTGAGAACCTGCGTGCTTTTCTTCCTCCCAGGTATGCTTCGCAAACTGGACATCAAAAACGAAGATGATGTCAAATCTTTCTCTCGAGTCATGGTCCATGTTTTCAATGACGGAGTAACAAACTGGGGCAGAATTGTGACTCTCATATCTTTTGGTGCCTTTGTGGCTAAACATTTAAGAAGTATAAACCAAGAAAGCTGCATCGAACCATTAGCAGAAAGTATCACAGATATTCTCGTAAGGACAAAACGGGACTGGTTAGTCAAACAAAGAGGCTGGGTAAGTTTGCTGTAGAGTTGGGGAGCAGTGATGGATTTGGAGTGGAGAATTTTATAGAAGGGCAATGTAGATTTTTTTTTTTTTTAACCATGCACAACTCAAGTTTTCAGTCTCTTGTGAGATTGTCAGTTTCACTTCTGTTGCTGTTTTCACTAGTGATGTGATGGTCTTGAATTGTTGGCATCAAACCCCCCTGGCTTTTGATGGGCTGTATGGATGATTGGGTCTTTTCCTTTTACATGTCAGTATACTTCATCTGGATGTTCTTTATTCCAGTGGATTCAGACTATGAAGTAATACAAGATAGGGATGATGAATATTATTTCCTTAACAGTCCCTTGGGCTTCGGATCATAGTTTTAAGTCTATATCTGCACCCAGATGATTCTGTTACAAGGAAATACCACTTGGAGAATACTACTTGTATGCAGTTTAGATATAAAATGGTGAGAATTTGAGGCCAAGGACTTAACCTTTAATTTGAATAATGAGGACTCTGTTTTTTTAAAAAAAAGTCCCTGTTTAACTTACCCAAGATCCTAGTGGCATAGCTGTTAAGCACACAGCTGCTAACTGCAGTGGTCAATTTGAACCCACCAGCCCACCATGGGAGAAAGATGAAGCATTCTGTTTCCATACAGACCCCACACAGCCTTAGGGGGATAGTTTACTCTATCCCATAGGTTGGTTGAGTCACTATCAACTTGGTGGAGATGAGTTTGGAATAGGATGAAAAATCAGGTTTTAATTATTACTGGTGACCTATTTAATGATTGTAAGAAACTTAAAAAAAAAAAAAAAAAGTCTTTTTACAGGCCAAGGATGAAGAATAATAAATCATTGAGTTGGGGGTGGGGGGACATTGTTATTTTTCTGTAGATCTTTTTCTCTCTAAATACTTTTTCCTAAGGCATTAGAAAACCATACTTGAAAAATTGTTTCTCTTTTTGTTTTCTAGGATGGGTTTGTGGAGTTCTTCCATGTAGAGGACCTAGAAGGCGGCATCAGAAATGTGCTGCTGGCTTTTGCAGGTGTTGCTGGAGTTGGAGCTG